GATGGTATGGTAGAGCGATTCAACCGGACCCTGGAAGAGCACTTGCGAAAAGTAGTGTACAAGTATCAGGATGATTGGGATGTGCATATACCGCTTTTCTTGATGGGATATCGATCCGCCGTGAATGTAACTACAGGGCAAACACCTGCGAGGATACTGTTTGGTAGTGAACTACGGTTGCCCAGCACTTAAATATCACATATAATAATGCAATATATCGTTTAGAACGATTTTTTTTTAAAAGCGTTCTAACGTTTGTTTACTTCAGTAAAAAAAAATAAAGTTTTCATGTCCGTCAAAACCAAAAAAAGTGCTGCCACACCTTTGAAAAGTAAGCATATCACATTAATATCCCTTTTCAACTTACAAAGAAGTTTCACGTAAGAATACTGTGCAATGCGAAGGCGGTGTTGATTCGGACCAGGGTTATTTTTTAAATACGGCCAAAGGTAATTAACAAAGGTGTTTCGCTTAAGAATACAGTGTAAGGCAAAGGCGGTGTTGGTCCGTCCAAGTTTTTTTTTCAAATCCGGCAGAAGGCCGTTAACTTACAAAGGTGTTTCACTTAAGAATACTGTGCATGACGAATTCAGATAACAAATGAAAGTTGTGAAGAAACAGACTGATAACATGTTAGGCAATAGCTACTTTTTTGTAATAAATGAACTTACCCTTGCCGTGAGACAGACGGGTTTGGCTGATTGTATCGAACACTTATACGTCATTTTTTTCCCAAAGGAAACAAACGAGAGAATGCATTTTTTTGTGTTAAACGTTATTGGGCATTGTTATATGCGATATTTGGGTGTTCCGTGTGATTATAGATACATTAGTAAAGAAAAGTATTACAAATTTTTTAGCAATTCGTAAAATATGTAAGCGGCTTCCTAACGAGTTTTGAATTTTGTTTACGTCTAAATTTATAACTTAAATTGATAAAGCAATGGTGAAATTTTTCACACCATAGTAAAGTTTTCCACCTCATTTTAACATATGAAAAAAAGATACCGATTGGCACATAGCCTCAATAACTATCAAATCGCTTTACCATATTCCAGATACGATGGCATGCCAGAAACTTCTGAAACTGAGTACGAGCACCATCAATAGAATATATGGGAGAGCGGCAAGTTAGATCAGTTAGAAAGTGAAAGTGACATTAAATTTAATACTCTTTATATTTGGTGTTTATAACGAATATTAAATATACAGATTTATAAGCTAGTATCTAATGAAATTTAAAAAAAAAGGTGTTTAAGAATATATAAACTAAAGAATAAGAATAATTTTTGGTCCTTTCCTGCATTCATATTTTTAATTGAAATATTCTTTAAGCATTTTTTCCCCTTACTTCTAACCATTATCGCATAGCAAAACCCTGTTAGAGCTTTACTATTTCCAAAACTTATGGGCAGAATTTGAGGAAGATGGGTTTTGATAATAAATTGATATATTCATATATTAATATCTTGTAATATTTGTTACGAAATTTTTTTTGTTCTTGCGTTATTTATTCTTTCTTTTAAGGGTTTGTTTTTATAAATTAACAACTACATAAGTCATTTGGATAAAAAAAGGCCTCTGGAAGAACTGAACACCTAAGCAACCCTGCCAAAAAGCTTCCGATCATTTCAGCCAACATAAGTCAAGAATGCATGATGTCAGATGTCATATCCCGTCAGCTCGTAGAACGAACGATTTTCCCATCACTTTCTTAAAGCCGAAAAAATGTGATGTTTACATTTGTATACGTATACGTCATTCTCTCTTCTTTTCCTTCTGCATTTTTGTCATTCTTCTCGGACAAACAGAACATAGCTGAGCGACAGCATTGATACCAAAAGAAAACAATATGGACTTGAGAAACAGCAGATGTGCCGTACAAGCCGAACATAGTTGAGCGACAGCATTGATGCCGAAGGAAATCAGCTTTGACAAAATATTTCCCTTCATGTATACCTACATACAAACATTATTAACATTCTGTCTTTATTCCAATGTTTTGCATAAGTCATGTGCTTGGTTTGCATAGTACAATATACGAAAGTAATATTAATACAACAATAAACTCGTTTTCAAAGATCAGAAAAATATTATAAGCAAAACCGCATCATCAGTTTTTAATAGTGCCAAGCGTTGGTCAGCTCGTCGCCTTCGTCATAACCGCGGCTCCTTTTGAGTATAAAGGCGTTTAAGTAAAATGAAAATATATATATAATGTAATGAATCATAATATTATTAATGTCTAAATGTAGTTGTACCTTGCAAAGTTTTGTTGAATACTTTTAATTCTGTTACTGTTGCAAGATGAGAAGTGTCCATTCCAGTCAACCTGCTGCATTAAGAGAATTTTCCGCATAATATGGCGTGCCCTTAACTAAAAACAATGTTAAGAGTAATGAAAAATGAAGTAGTTAATTAATCGACAATATATCATAGTATTACCACAGTTTGTATAGGGTCCTTATCCATATTTTTCACTTTTTTACGTCTTCTGCTATACTGTACGGAGAAAAAGATAAAAATCCGTTCAACTGCATTCTCCTTCAATTTGTATGTACTCAGAAAAGAGTGCTGCCCGAAACCGTGTGAATATATATTGTTGCGAAAATGCGAGGCGAATGTCAGATGAAAGAGAGAAGCCGATAACTAGTACGTTCTAGAAACGATAAAACAAGAACCTTCCATAGCGAACAATTCGATGCTTCTACGCTTTCGTCTGCGAGCAGCCGACTGCTATATAAAGGCG